TTTAAGCCACCGGATCCGGGATGCGAACCGCGGTCGACTACGTGGGAGTCCAGCGACATAGCCATTACGCTAACTGCTGGTTCCCTTGGAGAGGTTTTTTTTTGCTACAGGGCAAATGCGCTTGCCACAAAGACAGAGAGAGACGGAGAGACAGAAAGAGAAAAATCACCCCTGAGGAGAGATGACCATGCTGCAATCTCTTCTCCTCCATTCTCCTCTCAGGATCTTGGGCACGCACACACATGCGACCGGCATGAATTTAAGCCACCAGGTCCAGGACTCGAACCGCGGTCAACTACATGGGAGTTCAATGATGTGGCCATTACGCCAATTGCTGGTTCCCATTTGTCTTACTTTGATAGTACGGCAAGATATAGAAAGAGCTATTAGATGCAGGGACAGAAGATGCTAAGCAAATCTGCTATTGCTTCTTAAAGTCTAAAAGTCACGGTTCTTAGGTAAGATTATGAGTTACAGTCAAAAGATTAATTTCCTCAATGCTGTGGGCTTTTAACTACCAAATTCCTTGCTGTGGTTTTTCCATATAAACTGCACATATAGTTGAGCAATTTACCAATAATTAGAATAAGCAGTCAATCCAAAATTATTTTTTTAAATAATTATTTATTTTATTTTATTTATTCATTCATTTATTTTTTAGTTTGACCAGAGAGAGACAGAGGGTGAGACTTAGAAAGAGAGGAAGTGAGAAAGCAAGCCACCAGATTCAAGACTTGAACCCCGGTCAGTCATATGGGAATGTCCAGCGCCTTAACCACCACGCCACCTGCTGGTCCCGTCAATCCAAAATTATTAACATAAACATCTCCAAGGCCATCAGAGCACATGGACCACTTCTGTGTGTGTATGTGTGAATAAATGTTCTAAATCAGAAGAAAATGTGCACATTGGGCTACATCAAGAGTATATAAAACTCCTGGGACCAGCAGTTAGTGTAATGGCTATGTCGCTGGACTCCCACATGTAGTCGACTGTGGTTCACGTCCCAGACCCGGTGGCTTAAACTCACGCTGGGCGTGTGTGCGTGCATTCCCAAGATCCCGAGAGGAGAATGGAGGAGAAGGGATTGCAGCGTGGCCATCTCCCCTGGGGGGTGATTTCTCGCTTTCTGTCTCTCTGTCTCGCTCTGTCTTTCTGGCAAGTGCATGTGCCCTATAGCAAAAACCTCTCCAAAAAAAAAGAATATATACAACTCCTATGTCTTTTAAGGAGAGGAGAAAATGTTTCAGAAGCAGGAGAAGAAAAGAAAAAAAAAAAAAATGACAGCAACATCAGCAAACCTAGAAGTTTCAGCTTCCATAAAATATACGGCTGCCTATTAGAAGACGAAAACCTCCAGGTGTCAATTTTTCATTCAGGCTTGCCAAAGATCAGCTTGGTTTTTATTGCTTGGTGCAATTTCCGAATTAAGTGACTTCACTGTGAGTGGGACTTTTTTATGTAACACATTACATCATAAATTAGCCCTAATAATGTGACAGTGATCACCGGCAGATAAACCGCACAATGAGCTGGCAGGATTGCAAGCCCGGGGCACATTCTTCCCTGGATTCTGATTTGTTATCACAGTTTCAGTGGAAAACACACACAGAGGACGGCAGCAGAGGAAGCGTGAGGCCGCTGCATCCCAGCGATTCCCTGGCCTGCGCCTGCCCGCTGAGTCACCTACCTCGTAGCCTTTCTCCAGCAGGAACTCGGCCAAGTATGAACCATCCTGGGAAGAGAGGGAAAAAAAAATAGGAGACGTCAGGCAACTTGTGGCTAGTAGTACAGAAAGGTGACCCCCACTAAAAGTTTTGAGAAAAGCAAGTAAAAGTATACCAAACTTAAATTAAGGACGACAGTAACCCAACTAAAATGATATCGACGAACACCGCACAGTACTCCGGGATACGCAAGGCATTTCAGGGTTTCATACGAGCTCCACAGAAGACAGAGGAAGAAACCGAACACCAAGGAGGGAAAGTGACATAACAGAGAAAATTTAAGTTGCAGAATGGAATGGATTTGGCTTTAGGCCACTCATTAGCTAACTGGGTGAAACATGCAAGCAAATTAAAAAAAAAAAAAAACCCTGTACAAAGTAGAACACCTTCGTGTTATGATAACATAAAACAGAAATTTTACTAATCCTAGGGATTTATGTTAAAAAAAAAAAAAAAAAAGCCATGGCTTGGGAAGGGATGTACTGAGAGCCCAGGGGGCTTGGAGTGAGCAAAGCACAACTGTGAAGAGGAGACAGAGAACTCCTATTGGTGTTTACAGTGGAGTGGAAAGGCCAGGGAACAGTAGAGGAAGATTAACCTCTGAAAGGAAGGCCCTCCAGGTACTGGTGGGAGTCACCTGTTAACACAAGGGTTGTGGACAATCACCGCAGGGTTTAAAGGGTTTAGGGAGGGGGCTATATCGGATTGATATTCTCATCACTGCATGTGCATCCACTCTGTACAATCTTATGAATGTAGTTCATTCCTACCCTAAGATGAAAGTGTCTATGGGATTCTCAACCAGCTTTTTATAATTCTTTAAAAAACTGTCTGGGTGGGGGGAGCAGCAGGTGGCATAGTGGTTAAGGCACTGGACTCCCACAGGGCTAACCACAGTTAAGTCCAGGCCCTGGAGACTTGAAAGCCACACTGGGCACATGTGCATGTGTGCTCAAAATCCCAAGAGAAGGGATTATGGTGTGGCCATCTCCCCTGGGGGAACAGAATAATATCTTACTTCTTTCTCTCTCACTTTCTGTCTCTCTGGCAAGAACACGCACTCTATGCCCCCCCCCCATAAAAAAAACAATCTTTAAAAAATTCTGGGTAGGAATCTCTATTTAAGGTAAAATATTTCATATATCATTTTTTTTGGGAAAGAAAGTGTGACAGGTATCCGAGTAAAATCCATTAAGATGTTCAAAGTTGAGGAAACACCATGGTAGAGGTGGTAAGAAAAGTCATCGGCTTCTCTCAGAAAACATACTGGGTACACATTTTATAACCAATCCTGTAGCTGTTCTGCTTTTAGCTCAAGAAGGGAGTTCTTCTCCCTTCCATTCAGACTTAAACATGAAAACAGGAGGCTCTAATTTCTGGAAATGCATGCCTTCAAAAGCAGGGAGGTCTGGGTTTTCTTCCATTTCTTCAACTTGAAAAAAAAAATACCTTTGAATTTTGAGTTTTGAAAGTTCCAACCAGACACGATCAAAAAAAAAAAAGAAGCGGCAGCAGAAAAAGAGAAAGGAAATCAGTCTTATTATTATCACTTGGCCTAAAGTTGCAATTGGAGACACCCGATGGGTCCTGAAAGCGACAGGGCTGCCATGGGCGTGTTTCCGACATTAATGCTGAAGTCACGCATACATTCAGGCAGAAAGACAAGGCAAGGCCTACAAGGGACACATTCTGTGGTTCATTAAAAAAGCTTCCAGCAGATTTTCTTCTCGCTTCTTATAGAGTCAAGTGGAGAAGAAGAGAAATGGTTGGGCATGTTCCTGTTCATCCTGATGTTAACATGTGTGTGGTTTTTACATACCCGATAGGCAGACTGTTGATAAACCAGATCACGAGGCTGACCAAGTCAGACCAGGAAGGCCTGCACAGCCACCAGAAATGTTAGTGATCAACAGTCCTGTGAATCAGTCGGTGAGAAAACAGAGTATTAGAAAAATATTTACAGTAAGAATAATAATTTGACAGCAGGGCCGGAAAGCCCTGAAAATACCTAGTTTTGATGCTACAGTGGTGGTGGTGTTTTGTTTTTTGTTTTTGTTTTTTTTTTTTTTTGGAGAGGTTTTTGCTATAGGGCGCGTGCGCTCGCCAGAAAGACAGAGAGAGACAGAGAGACAGAAAGCGAGAAATCACCCCCCAGGGGGGATGGCCACGCCGCAATCCCTTCTCCTCCATTCTCCTCTCAGGATCTTGGACACACACGCACATGCGCCCGGCGTGAGTTTTAAGCCACCGGATCCGGGATGCGAACCGCGGTCGACTACATGGGAGTCCAGCGACATAGCTATTACGCTAACTGCTGGTCCCTGTGGTGGTGGTGTTTTGAAGTAGGCAACACTATACCATTCACATTTTATAATACTCTTGCAATGAAAAACTTAAAATGCTTTGTGTTCTACAACAGTTGCAAAGAATGCTTTAACAAAAAGAAAGAAAGAAAGAAAGAAAGAAAGAAAGAGAGAGAGAAAGAAAGAGAGAAAGAAAAAGAGAAAGAAAAAAAGAAAGAAAGAAAGAAAGAAAGAAAGAAAGAAAGAAAGAAAGAAAGAAAGAAAGAAAGAAAGGGAGAGAGAGAGAGAGAAAGAAAGAGAGAAAGAGAGAGAGTGTAAAGCAGAGGTGAACATGCTAGAGCTCCCTGGGCTGGAGAGAGCTGTGATTATTTAGAAAGCTGATGTGAAACAGACCTGCCCAGGACTGAACCCTGTCAATAAGGTCTTGTTCTTCTCACCCAGGCCCGTTTCTCAAACTTTCCAACCGCACTGGAACATTCTGAACCAGCAGTGGCACTGCGTCCGCCTTACTTCCTTGCCAGGCCTCTCAAGTGATAGGGCTTGAGTAGCACAATGAGTGGGAAGCGGGCCGAGTGAGGGATCCTGGTCTCTGGCCCCGGGAGCCCTGCTGGCCTCCCCCCTGCCCTCTCTCCAGGCCCCCGAGGATCTCTGGGGAGACACGTATCTGAGCAGGCAGATGTTGGCTGCCAGCAGGATGCATCCCCTGGAGAATCGGGCCTGACAGAGAACACTGTGATCAGATGCACGACTGCAGTGTCAGGGCGGCCGAGAACACCTAACCAGTATTAAGTTCAGACACTTGATGACTCTGAAGTCGAGGAGCAGACAGACTGAATCTCCAAACCAGTCACTCTGAACACAATCCGTGTGGTATAAAATCCTTCCAGGGTTCAAACCCTGACGCAGAAAACTCTCCAACTGGACAGATATTGCCCTAATATGACCCTCGTAAACTTAACCTCCGTAAGGGTATCTACTTCACATTAAATGCTATACATTTTGTTTGCGTGTTTTTAGTTTTTTGCCATAGAGCATATATGCTCACTGGATAGAGAGAGAGACAGTGGGAGGGAACGTGAGAAATCACACCCCAGAGAGGATGGCCACAGAGCAATCCCTTCTTCTCCATCCTCCTCCTGGGATTCAGCGTGACTTTTCAAGTCACTAGGTCCAGGACTCAAACCATGGCTGGTCATCTTAACCACCTCACCACCTGCTGGCCCGGATGTTATACGGTTTTAAGCTATCCTATGTCTCTAACACTTTCAAGACAGAAATATTCTCTATCTTATTCTGACAAGAACTCAGCCCTCTGACATCTCAAGGAACTGAGGCACAGGGAGTTTCGCTGACTTTCCTAAAACCACTTGACTGGTTACAGACCAAACAGGGACAGGAATGCAAGTCCCATGAACCTGAACTAGGAAATAACCTTCCTCAATCTCTTCTACCAGAATAGGTCAGAACCCAACAAAATAATAAAAATCCATCAAAGACTCATTTTCCAACCAAATTGATGTAGTCATTTTCCACTACGGCATGTTTTATAGATTAAACAGTGCTTCCAGTTTGAATCAAGTGACCCAAACTGAGGGAAGTCAGGTAACTGTAGAACACTCCAGAGCTCAGAGGAGAGAGAAAAGATACAGCACCTGAGATTAGACAGGTCTGGGTTTGGGCGCTTGCAGGGCCGTGAAGCAATCAGCGCTGTCTGGAGGTGAACTTTGGGGATAGAGGGACGTGGGGCGCCAGGTTCAGGGTCCAAAGAGGCCAAGTCTGCGGGTGCCCACTCTGTTCTTCAAAAGGGTGGACCCTCGCTTTTCATAGAATATTCAGAAACGTTCCAGATAGGGCCACATAAAAAAAGTAATTCCAGAAATTAGAATCACATTTTGACTATTGTATAAATTCCACATCTATAAAAAGCAAAGGAAAACACAGAACGCTCCTCCCTTTTCCTAGTGGTCAGAGATGGAAAAAGCATTGGCCAACCTTCTGGGGCCAACAGGTGACATGGTGGCTAAGGCACTGGGCACACCCACATGGCTGACCACAGTTCGAGTCCCAGACCTTGTGGCTTGCTTCCTCACTTCTCCCCCCGTGTGTGTGTAGTGTGTGTGTGTGTGTGTGTGTGTGTGTGTGTCACTCTCTGATCAAATTAAAATGAATGAATAAATAAAAAATTTAGGGGCCAGCAGTTAGCATAATGGCTATGTTGCTGGACCCCCATGTAGTCAACCGCAGTTTGAGTTCGGGACCTGGTGGCTTAAACTCACGCTGGGCACATGTGCGTGTGTGCCCAAGATCCCGAGGGGAGAATGAAGGAATTGTGGCGTGGTCATCGCCCTGGGGCGTGATTTCTCACTTTCTGTCTCTCTGTCTCTCTCTGTCTTTTTGGCGAGAGCACACGCCCTATAGCAAAAACCTCTAAAACAAATTTTTTTTTTTAAATAAACAATTTTTTAAAAAAAGCATTAGCCAGCTCTCTATCAGCATACTCGCGCCCCAAGTCCAAATTCATATTGCAGGGCACTATGTGGAGAGAGACTAGTATTTCTTTCTCTCTTTCAGCAAGGATGCTTGTATAGCCCAGATAAATAAAACATTCTGATGGCGCAATTTGAGAACCAACCTCCCCAAGCTATACTCAAAATCATAATGTATGCTTTCGCTTAAGTACGTTTGGCAGTTTCTTTGAACTGGAC